GTATGTTGGAACTAGCCATGCCTACAGAAGTATAAGCGTAAAAAGAGACTAGCACATACGAGTAACCAGTCATATATATATATATGTACAGCAGCGAAACCATCAACCGTGAGCTGCCCGTCAAACTGAAACTCCTGGACCCGATCTAACTGATGGCTCAAAGAATGTGCTTGCCTGTGTCCAGGCATCAAAATCCACTCACCACCCTCAGTGTCGCGTTCCTGTCCAGCAATCGTGACCGCTCGACCAGTTTTGCGAGCTGGATTCGCGTGCATTCGAATCTTATCTCTCCGAGCTTTCTTCTGCCACGGGGGAAGGGCAGACCGTGAAACATGAGTCTCTGCTAACGCTACTACATCGAACGACTTATCCTGCAAACCAGCTGAGACAAAATCCCAAACCTTATCGCCCATGGACGTAACATTCCCGAACAATACGGTGGAGAACTCAGGCAGAGCAGGGCGCTCGCGCGGCTTGAAAGTCGCCGCGCCCAGGGACCTCGAGGTCCCTAGTCAAGATGCACCAGCAGAGCCCTCAGAAGGCGGCGCCGCCTGCGCCGCAACCCGCTGCGCCTCGAACTGCGCGGCGGAGATGCGCTCCGCCTCAGCGGCCACCTTGGCGGCGTAGTCCTCCTGCTGCTTCTGGGTCTGCTCCGTCGTCGGCGACGGCACTGGCGCTGCATCTGGTTGAGCATGACCCGACGGTGCACCACCAGGTACGTCATCATCAGCGTTGCGACGCTTCTTGGCCAACCTCTCGGAGATGGTGGCTCTCGTAGACCTTGCCCGCTCAACTAGCTTCGTGACCTCGTCGGCCTTCGAAGACAGCGTGGCCTTCTGCGCCTGCAACTCTTCCAGGCATTTCTTGAGTGTGTCCCGTTCATGCGGCTCGCACTCGAGCTCCTCTAAGTTAGCGAAAAGTTCCTGGTCCCACACAATGTCGAACGGCTTCTTGTCCGCTGGCTCGCCGCCTCCAGGGTCACCACGCGCAGTGTTGACGCCCTCGAGCTTGGCGACCGCAGAAGCAGCCTGAGCCCGCACTAATGTGGCTTCCGCAACTTCACGAGCCAGCCTGGATTCTTTCTCGCGTGCAGCCTCAAGATTCTTCTCCAATCTCATCACTGATGTGACCGCTTGCTGATGGCGGTTCTTGGCATCTCTCCAAGCCCCGTCTGCCTGCTGCATGGCCAGCACCACGTTGGTACCCGAAGCAGAGGCAGACAACTTGAGCTTCTTGAGCTGCATCTCCAGGGAAGAACGAAGATCAGGATCGGTGGCTGCCTTAAGCGCCGCCTGCAAATGACCAAAAAGAATATCCTGTCCCTTCTGCTGCCCAACTGATCCTCGAGGGGAATGGCCAGGCGTGGAGGAACGAGACCCGCCATCAGGCTTCTCACCAACTGCAAAGGTAACCTGCTTGCGAAGAGCGCTCTTTGGAACCCCTCCTGCGGAACCTCCAGTTGGAACCTGTGGCTGCTTCTTGCCCTTGTAGAGCTTGACTTTCTTTCCGCAAGTACATAGCTGGCCACGACTAATCAATCGATCATTGTATTCCTGCGTCCCGCAAGATTGACATGTCGACCAGAGCCTCGGACCTGCGAAAGACATCTCGGCTTTCGTCAGCAAAAGTGAAAGGGCTGGACTGTACCCTCTACTAGAGGTGTCCCTCAAGCGCCACGGGGAGGCACCGAGGCGGCCCAAATCACGCGGCCTCTCCACGGGGGGAGAGGACTTGGTGCTCGGGCCGAAGTGGCTTGAGAGGCGGAGGAGGAGGAGGAGGAGGAGGAGGAGGAGGAGGAGGAGGGGGAGGAAGGAGGAGGCGGAGGAGGAGGAGGAGGAGGCGGAGGAGGAGGAGGAGGAGGAGGAGGAGGAGGAGGCGGAGGAGGAGGAGGAGGAGGAGGAGGAGGAGGAAGAAAAATAATAAGAATAAGCAGAAGAAGAAGAAGGAAAAGACAAATAAGAGGAAGAAGTCGACTAAGAAGACGAAGACGAATAATATTAATAAGAATACTAAGAAGAACACTACGAAGAAGGAGAAGACGAAGAAGAAGAAGACGAATACTAAGAAGAAGCATAATACTAAGAAGAAGAATAAGAAGACTAATACGAATACGAAGAATAATAATACGACGAATAATACGAACAATAAGAATACTAATACTAATACGAACAATAATAATAATACGAAGAAGAAGAATAAGACGAATAATAAGAATAAGCATACTAATAATAAGAATACTAAGCAGAATAAGAAGACGACGAAGAATAATAATAATAATAATAAGAAGAAGAAGACGAATACGAATACGAATAAGAAAAATAATAAGAATAATAATAATCAGAAGAAGAATAAAAAGAATAAGACGAATAGTAATAATAATGAGAATAATAAGAAGAATAATAATAATAAGAATAATAATAATAATAATACGAAGAATAATAAGACGACGAATCAGACGAATAAGAAAAATAAGAATAATAATACTACTAAGAATAAGAATACTAATAATAAGAATAAGAAGAAGAATAAGGAGAAGAAGAAGAAGACTAAGAAGAATAATAATAATCATCATAATAATAATAATAAGAAGAAAAATAAGAATAATACTAATAATAATAATAAGAATAAGAATGCGACTAATACGAATAATAAGACGAATACTAATAAGAAGAATAATAATAAGAAGAATAATAATAATAAGAAGAAGATGACGAATAATAAGAATATTAATAATAATAAGAATAATAATAAGAAGAAGAATAAGCATAATAAGAAGAAGAAAACGAATAAGAAGAGGAGGAGGAGGAGGAGGAGGAGGAGGAGGAGGAGGGGGAGGGGGGAGGAGGAGGGGGGAGGAGGGGAGGAGGAGGGGAGGAGGAGGAGGAGGGAGGAGGAGGAGGAGGAGGGTGAGGAGGAGAAGGAGGAGGGAGGAGGAGGAGGGGAAAACGAGGAGGAGGAGGAAAAGAAGGAGGAGGAGGTCCTAGGAGGAGGAGGCGGAGGAGGAGGAGGAGGAGGAGGAGGAGGAGGAGGAGGGTGTGGAGGAGAGGAGGAAAAGGAGGAGGAGGAGGAGGAGGAGGAGGAGGAGGAGGAGGAGGAGGAGGAGGAGGGTGAGGAGGAAGGAGGAGGAGGAGGAGGAGGAGGAGGAGGAGGAGGAGGAGGAGGAAGGAGAGGAGGAGGGAGGGAGGAGGAGGAGGAGAGGAGGAGGAGGAGGAGGAGGAGGAGGAGGAGGAGGAGGAGGAGGAGAGGAGGAGGAGGAGGAGGAGGAGGAGAGGAGGGAGGAGGAGGAGGAGGAGGAGGAGGAGGAGGAGGAGGAGAAGAAGGAAGAGGAGGAGGAGGAGGAGGATAAGGAGGAGGAGGAGGAGGAGGAGGAGGAGGAGAGAGCATGAGGGAGGGAGGAGTGGTCACCCCCACCTCCTTTCGTCGTGAGCAAGAACCACGACGGAGGGTTGTCGGGTCATTCTTGGCCTGGGCCCGCCCCGCGCCCACGCTCTGTCAAAAAGTGGCTCGGGGTGAGAATCGGGTCCCTGAGACCGGAAAGAGCGTGTTCTACCGCTGCTGGCGGAAGACCGGGGGGGGGTCACTACAGGTTCGAACCCCTCCCCCCCCCCCCTCCGGAAAACGGGGGGGGGGGCACTACCGTTCGAACCCCTCCCCCCCCCCCAGTCCATCATGAAAAGGGGGGGGGGTCACTACCGGTTCGAACCCCCCCGCCCCCCCCCCTCGAAAACCGGGGGGGGTCACTACCGGTTCGAACCCTCCCCCCCCCTCGAAAACCGGGGGGGGTGCGGACAGTGGTGGGGACGGTGGTGGTGGGGACAGTGGTGAGGGGACAGCGGGACAGTGGTGGGGACAGTGGGACAGTGGTGGGGACGGTAGTGGTGGGGGACAATGGTGGGATCAGTGGGGACAGTGGGACAGTGGTGGGGACGGTGGTGGTGGGGACAGTGGTGTGGGGACAGTGGGAATGTGGTGGAAACAGTGGGACAGTGGAGGGTGCAGTGGTGGTGGGGACAGTGGTGAAGGCGGTGGCGAGGACGGCGGTGGGACAATGGGACAGAGGTACAGTGGGGACAGTGGGGACAGTGGTGGGAACAGTGGGACAGCTCAGTGGGACAGCGGAGGAGTCAGTGGGACAGTGGGGACAGTGGGGATAGTCGGGGCAGTGGTTGGGGCCGTGGAGAAAGTGGGGAGAGTGGAACCGTGGTGGGAACAGTGGCGGGGACAGTGGGGACAGTGCGACAGTGGTCGGGGCACTCGTGGGGACAGTAGGGACGGTGGTGGAACCAGTGGGTCCGTGGTGGTGAGGACAGTGGTGCTGGGAACAACAGTGGGGGATGTGGTGCGGACGGTGGTAGGGACCGGGAGTCGTTTGCTGGCGGTGAGGGGGGGGGGAGGGGTTCGAACCGGTTGTGACCCCCCTCTGGTTTTCGAGGGGGGGGGGTTCGAACCGGTAGTGAACCCCCCCCGGTTTTCCAGAGGGAGGGGGAGGGAGGGGGGGTGAAGGGAGGGGGGGGTTTTGCTGGGGGAGGGGAGGGGGGGGGGGGGCTGTTCCAGCAGGGGGGGGGGTTTCGGAGGGGGGGGGGGACCCGAGGTTCCGAAGGAAGAGGGGGGGGGGGGGGGGGAATTTCACAGAAAGCGGCGGTGGATCACGCTCTCTCCGTGATTGGGTCTAGGCCTTTGGGGGTCCACGGAATCGCGGCGTCGGAGTTCTGGGCAGATGGAGTAGGCGTAAAATGGAAGGGAGAGAAGAGGGAGGAGGCGGAGGCGGAGGCGCAGGCGGAGGCGGAGGAGGAGGAAGAGGAGGAGGATCAGGAGGAGGAGGAGGAGGATGAGGAGGAGGAGGAGGAAGCTGTAGATGCTGAGGCAAAGGACTTTGCCCGCTGTCCTCCCCTCTACTCGCAGATCCCTCACGCAGGCTGCACCGCAGCTGCCACTACATATAAGTTGTGGGTGGGCATGTAGGCTGGAGGGGGCTGATAGGATCGGTAGCGGAAGCGGAGGAGTTACTACATCCTGACCCTCGTTAAGGGCAGCCTGCCACGTGCAGGCTACACAGTCCTCTTCGCTACGGAAGAGTTTCTCAAGATGCACAAGCGTCGCAGCAGGAGCAGCTACCGCCGCGAGGCGTCGACCCCCGCCGCCGCTGCCACAGCCTCCCCTTTCTCCTCCTTCGAAGTAATGATGGTCCCCTCCCCTCGCCCCTTTCTTCACCTTCTACTGTCTACCTTCAGCCTGCGACTCCTGGAACGAAGGCTCCAGGAGTCGCCTGGCTCTTAGTCTGATCCCCCCCAGGACCGACCGGCCCTGGGGGGGAGGGCGGCGTCCGACGGATTCTTGCGCCTTCAGGCAGTCAGGCATTCGGGCGGAGGATGAGGAGGATGAGGATGAGGAGGAGGAGGCGGATGATGATGATGATGATGATGATGATGATGATGATGATGATGATGATGATGATGATGATGATGATGATGATGATGATGATGATGATGATGATGATGATGATGATGATGATGATGCTGATGCTGATGATGATGATGATGATGATGATGATGATGATGATGATGATGAGGATGATGATGATGATATGATGATGATGATGATGATATGATGATGATGATGATGATGATGATGATGAATGATGATGATGATGAGTGGTGGTGGTGGTGGCTGTGATGATGTGCTGCTGTGATGCTGATGATGTGATGATGCTGATGATGATGATGATATGATGATGATGATGCTGCTGCTGCTGCTGCTGATGATGATGATGATGATGATGATGATGATGATGCTGCTGCTGCTGATGATGATGATGATGATGATGATGATGATGAGGAGGAGGAGGAGGAGGGAGGAGGAGGAGGAGGAGCAGGAGGAGGAGAAGCAGGAGGAGGAGGAGGTGGAGGAGGAGGAGGTCCCGTCCCAAGGCGCCTGGGATGGCACCCTGTTGCTCATCAGATGTGCCGGGGCTGATCTTCGGTCGGGCTTGTCTGGAGCCCTTCTGCGCCGCCAGCCGCGCGCTGCTGGCCACAGGTAAAAACACCCCCTCCTCTCCTCCATCCTCCTTCTCCCTCCTTCCTCCCCTCCTGCTTCCTCCTCCCTGTCCCTCCTCATTTCCTCATTTCCTCCTCCTCCTTCTACTCCTCCCTGTCATCCTGGCCTCCTTCCTTCCGCACTGGATTCAAATCAGAGTGAGGGGACCGAACGGTCATTCATTGTCCCGGGACGCGTGGCTGAAGTGGGGTTCCACAGAGCGGATTGTTGTTGCGTTGTCGCATTGTTGCGCTGTTGTTGCGTTGTTGTCGTCGCCCTGGCCCGCGATCCGCCCGCGACCTAAATGCGACCCACCCCGCGACCGACCCCGCGACACACCCGCGACCCACCCGCCCGCTACTTGCTTTGCCGACGCAATCGTCGCCTGCGGCGTGCTCTCTCTCTCTCTCTTTCTCTCTCTCTCTCTCTCTATATATAATGTGCAAAATATCGGTACCAGCGGCGCGCTCCTCCAGAGCCTCGCAGACTGCCGACACCCCCGCCGCCCCCTCACGCTCATCCGCAGCATCCGCAGCTGCGGGGTGCTACGTATGAAGACAAGAAGTTTTTTCCTGCCTCCTCCTCTCCTCCCCCTCCCTCCTCGCCCCTGTTGCTCCCGCTTCCTCCGCCAAGGTCCTCCTGCGTGACCGGGGCGCCGTCCACCGTGGCGTGGATGCAGACTGCGCAGAGCTACCGGATCGAGACGTGCTAAGGGTACCCCGCGGCGACCCCACAGCTCTCCGCGGCGCCGCCGAGGGCAGTGAGCGAAAGCGCCCGTCGTCGTCTTCGACGTGGTTGTGGTGGTGGTCTTCGTCGTCGCCGTCGCCGTCGCAGACGCCGCCGTCGTAGTCGCTGCCGCTGCCGCCGTCGCCGTCGTCGCTGCCGTAGCTGTCGTCGTCGTCGTGAGCGTGGTCGTGGTCGTCGTCGTCGTCGTCGTGGTCGTCGTCGTCGTCGTCGTCGTCGTCGTCGTCGTCGTCGTCGTCGACGTGTTGGTCGTTGTCGGCGTGATTGTCCTCGTCGTTGTCGTCGTCGTCGTCGTCGGGCTGGTGGTCGTCATCGTCATCGTCCTCGTCCTCGTCCTGGCCGCCGCCCCACCGCCACTGCCGCCATCGCCGTCGTCGTGGTCATGGTCGTCGTGGTCGTCGTGGTCGCCGTCGTCGTTGTTGTTGTGGTCGCCGTGGTCGATGTTGCCGTTGCCACCTCCGTTCTTCTCCCTCCCCCTGCCTCTTCCTCCCCCTTGCTCTTCATCCACCTCAGCTGCTCCTTCTGGTTATTCTCCCAACCATCCTGTGGAGTTGGGTCCTCGTTCCTTCCTCCTTCCTCCTCCCTTCTCCCTTCTCCCACTCCTGCCTCTGCCCTCCGCCATTTCGGCGCACCCCTCATTCGTTTCGTGGCCCCATGGGGAGCTCCACCGAAGGTCCCAGTAGCGCAGTTCGCATGCGGTCCCGCCACACCCATTTCGACACACCCATCACACATTTCGTGGCCCCATGGGGAGCTCCACCGAAGTTCCCAATGGCGCAGTTCGCATGCGTCCCCGCCACCAATGTCAGTACACCCCTCACACGTTTCCCCACAGGGAGCTCCCCCGAAAATCCAAGTGGGGCAGTTCGCATGCGTCCCCGCCACCCATTTCGGCGCACCCCTCGGGCGTTTCGTGGCCCCATATGGGGGCTCCACCGCCAATTTCAGTACACCCCTCACAGGTCTCGTGGTCTCACAGGGAGCTCCACCGAAGGTCTCATTGGCGCAGTTTGCATGCGTCCCCGCCACCAATGTCAATACACCCCTCACACGTTTCGTGACCCCATGGGGAGCTCCACCGAAAATCCAAGTGGGGCAGTTCGCATGCGTCCCCGCCACCCATTTCGGCACACCCCTCGGGCGTTTCTTGGCCCCACAGGGGGCTCCACCGACTGTCCCAGTGGCGCAGTTCGCATGCGTCCCAGTCCAATTTCGGCACACCTCTCTCACGTTGTGTGGCCCCATAGGGAGCTCCAGGTCCCAGTGGTGCAGCCCGCATGTGTCCCCGCCACCCATCTCGGCACACCCCTCACACGGTTCGTGGCCCCATTGAACGTTCCATTGAAGGTCCCAGTGGCGCATCCCGCATACGTTCCCCCCACCCAGTACAGCGCTTCGTGGCCCCTTTATGGAGCCCCACCGAAGACCCAAGTGGCCGCGGTCTCGGCACACCCCTCACACGCTTCGTGGCCCCATAAGGAGCTCCACCGAAGACCGAAGTCCCCAGCGGCAGTGATCGCATGCGCCCCCCCAGCGCCCATGTTGGCACACCCTTCACACGGATCGTGGCCCCATGGGGAGCTCCATCGAAGACGATATTCAGACTGGCGTTACTCACAATTGCACATGGCTGGGTCCTTCGCCGTCCAACTGTTGTGCTCCTCCTGTGCATTACCTGTCCTCCTCCTCCGCCGCCCGTGTGTTCTGCCAGTGGCCTCATTCTGCTCGTCCTTGCTGCCCGTGTTCCCCTACTCTTGCCGTGTTCCCCCACTCTTGCTTGTCCTTCTTCCTTTCCTTCCCGCCTGCCTTTCCTTCTTCCTTTCCCTCCCGCCGGCCTTTCCTTCTTCCTTCCCTTCCTGCCTGCCTTTCCTTCTTCCTTTCCCTTCATCCTGCCTTTCCTTCTTCCTTTCCATCCCACCTGCCTTTCCTTCTTCCTTTCCCTTCCTGCCTGCCTTTCCTTTTTCCTTTCCCTTCCTGCCTGCCTTTCCTTCTTCCGTTCCCTCCCGCCTGCCTTTCCTTTCCCTTTCTCTTGCCTTTCCTTTTTCCTTTCCCTCCCGCTCGTCATCCTCGCCCCCCCCGCCCCACTGGCCGCTGGCCCTGTGCACCGCCCTTGCTGGCGGCTGCGCGGGCCCCGATGGTTTCTCGCCCCACTGGCTCGATGTGCCGCGCTTTTGGGCGACGAGGGAGAGGACACTGACGAGGAGGAGGCGGCGGAGGATGATGAGACCGATGATGCTGATGATTCTGACGAGACTGATGATGCTAATGATGACGATGATGCTGATGCTGATGATGATAATGCTAATGATTATGCTGCTGCTGATGATGATGATGATGACGATGGTGATGGTGATGGTGGTGGTGATGATGATGCTGATGCTGATGCTGCTGATGATGATGACGCTGATGCTGATGCTGATGATTATGTTGATGATGCTGATGCTGCTGAGGCTGATGATGCTGCTGATGATGCTGCTGATGATGATGCTGAGGCTGATGATGATGCTGATGCCGATGATGCTGATGATGATGACGATGGCGATTATGATGGTGATGGTGATGATGATGTTGATGAGGGTGATGCTGCTGCTGATGATGATGCTGATGACGCTGATGATGCTGATGATGCTGATGATGCGGATACTTATGATGATGATGATGGTGATGATGATGATGATGATGATGGTGGTGGTGGTGGTGGTGGTGGTGGCGGTGGTGGTGGCGGTGATGATGATGGTGATTCTGCTGATTATGATGATGATGATGATGATGATGATGATGATGATGATGTTGATGATGCTGATGCTGGTAGCGATTATGATGCTGCTGCTACTGATGACGCCCATGACGACGATGATGATGACGATCAGGATGCTGATGACGATGATGCTGATGATGCTAATGAGGATGATGTTGTTGATCATGCTGATTATGAAGACGTTGACGCCGAGGATGCTGATGATGATGCTGATGATGATGATGACGCTAATGCTGATGAGGATGATGCTGCTGCTAGTGCTGCTGATGATGTGGATGATGATGCTGCTGATGATGATGCCGATGCTGCTGATGCTGATGACGCTGATGCTGATGCTGCTGATGATGGTGATGCTGATGATGCTGATGATGCTGATGATGCGGATGACTCTGCTGATGACGATGATGATGATGCTGATGATGACGATGATGCTGATGATGATGTGACTATGCTTATGATGATGCTGTTGCTGCTGCTGCTGATGATGATGACGACGCTGATGCTGATGACGCTGATGATGATGCTGATGATGCTGATGCTGATGCTCATGACGATTCTGATGCTGATGATGCTCATGACGCTGATGATGATGATGATGATGATGATGATGATGATGATGATGATGATGTCGATGCTGACGATTACGATGCTTCTGCTGCTGATGATGCTGCTGCTGCTGGTGATGATGATGATGATGATTCTGCTGATCATGCTGCTGACAATGCTGCTGATGACGATGCTGCTGATGATGCTGATGCTACTGATGATTATGACGATGCCGATTCTGATGATGCTGATGACGATGATGATGATGATGATGATGATGATGGTGATGCTGAAGATGGGTGATGATGCTGAATATAATGATGATGATGAGGATGATGATGATGATGAGGATGCTGATGATGCTGCTGATGATGATACTCGTTCTGGTGATGCTGATGATGATGATGATGCTGATGCTGCTGATGATGATGGTGTTGCTGCTTCTGCTGATGCTGCTGCTCATGCTGATGATGATGCTGCTGATGATGGTGATGATGGTGATGAGGATATTGATGATGCTGCTGATGCTGATGCTGATGATGATGATGATGATGGTGATGATGATGCCGATGATAATGATGATGATGATGATGATGCTGCGCTGCTGCTGTTACTGCTGTTGATGACGATTATGATGATGATGCTGATGCTGACGCGGATGCTGATGCTGATGCTGCTGATCCTGATGTTGTTCATGCTGATGATGCGGATTCTGCTGCTGATGATGATGCTGCTGCTGATGATGATGATGATGATGATGATGATGATGATGCTAATGTTGCTCACGATGCTGCTGCTGATGATGCTGATGATGATGCTGATGATGATGGTGGTGCTTATGATGATGCTGATGCTGATTCTTTTGATGTTGAGGATGATGATGATGATGATGATGATGATGATGATGATGATGATGATGATGATGATGATGATGATGATGGTGATGGTGATGGTGATGGTGATGGTGATGGTGATGATGGTGATGATGGTGATGATGATGATGATGCTGATGGTGATGATGATGTGATGATGATGATGATGATGATGAGGAGGAGGAGGAGGAGGAGGAGGAGGAGGAGGGCGGCGGAGGAGGAGGAGGAGGACCCCCATCAAGGCCGAATCGTGCACGCGTCGGACGGGTTCACGGGCTTATGCATTACTATCATCAGACGGGTTTTAGCGGAAGGGCCGACTGAGGGTGAAGATCAGCCCGTAGGGCAGTTACAGTATGGGTCTGTTTATATCGGGCGGCCTTGTGCCCAGTATGTCCAAGACAATTAACATGCAGCTGACTTTCCGCTTGTCACTGTACACTTTGATACGAGCCCCGTTAGGTACAAACCATGGCCAGACGGGTCACCAACACCTGGTGCCCATTGAGCTCGACGATCGCTTCAGAGGCAGGCACTCGCACCTCCGGCCCGCGACTCGCCCCATGGCCGCGACTCGCCCCATGGCCCTGCTCAGCCTCGGCGAAGGCCCCATCGCCGCCTGCACAGCCTGCGACCTCATGGGAGGGGCCCTCTGGAGCCCCACGTCGGCCCGAGCCTTGAGCCTCTCTTGGGCCGTGGGTCCACATGAGGACCCTAGGAGCTTCCCAAGACTGGCCTGCGTACGGGAACTGCAAGGCAACGGCGACACTGGACAACCTGAGGCCCTCGAAC